GTCAACATTATTTTGATCAAAAATAAAAAGTGTATTGAGCAATTCTACTTTAACATTTTTCAATACACCTATTTTTTTAATTTTTGATCAAAATACTGTTGACAATAAAGTTTTGCTGTTCACATACTTATTAATTAATATTTTTAACAGGCATATGCCTATTAAGACTACTTGAACAACTAAAGGAGATGAGGGTAGCCTAAGAGGTGCAGTGCACATACACTATTTACTATTAATAATTAATATTAATGAGATTATCCATAAAATCTATTTTATGTATATTTTAGAAAATCTAAAATAATTTCTGTGAAATGTAGATAAAATACCTGAATTTTTTTGATCGTTCTACAGTTATGCATCAGCCACCACTGGATATAAAAACAGGTCCCAATTTTTGACTGCTTTTGTCAAAAATCAGGAGCTGACCTATTGATGGGTTTACTTATTTCTGGTAAAATTTAAGTTGGAATCTAGAATTGTTGAGGTATGAGACAATGAATAGAGAGACATAATTACACATATTTTTGTACAATAACACACTGTATATATTTATTTAAGAAACAAACAGGCATAGCCTAATTACATGTTTCTATTAAAGTAATAACAATAATTATTAAATTAAGTATTACAAATTCATACTGAGCAAGGCATACAAAAAATACAGTCACCATTAAATCCGAAATAAAATTAAAAAAAGACTGCAAAATTTGCTCTATATCTGATTATCAGATATATTTAATTAATAAGAGAATAAACAATTGATTACAAAAAACATAATATCTGCAAAATATGTAGATAGAGAAATATAAACGGTTTATTGAAATAATTCTTTTAACTGTGGTATAAAGCCTAAAGTATTTGTGATATTAGTATCTAAGGTTAAATTCAAAGTATCATATAATTGACAAAATTTACTTATTTGTTTATTGTTTGTAATTAAAAACAATAATTGAGGAGGACGCATTCCTGGTGGTGTGACATAAAATTTAATTTGAGATACTAGGCAAGAACTATCAGTTAAACAATTTAGTAGTTTGTAAAGGAATATATTACTAATATCTCTTCGATATTCAAGTTTCATTCAGTTGAACTCTTTTCTAATGTGATTTTATGTGATGCAAATGATTATGGAAGAACACACTTTTTTGAGTACATCCATGATAAAAAAAGTATAGACCCTTCATCCACTTATGTTTTAAATTATTATTTACAGCAAAAATTGTATAAAACATAACAGAATAATATATTTCCCAAATATTAGGTATATATTTGTAAATTATTGTTTAGAACTTTTATCTTCTTTTAGTTTAAACAAATACTTAGTTTTTAAATGTAGAGATTAGTTTTTATCATATATTTTGTATTTATTATTAAATAATAAAAGTAAATAAGAGGCCATATGATAAAAAAATACATACTGGCTTGTTTGTGGCTAATATGTATTTAATTATATATTTTTACAAAAATTTGAGACTATTTTGTAGATTGGTCTCAGGTATTAGTAGGTACTCCTTTATTGACCTTTGTGTAAAGAATTTCAAATTTCAAACAGGCATGAACGCTTTTTATAATGCCTTAAACCAAAATATAAATAAACGTGACTTTTATCCAAAACAAACACTTCATCATAACAGATTATCATTTCAAAATTAAAAAAACCTTTAGTCGAGTTCACAAATTAATACAAAACCACGATTATTCAAGTAAAATTGTTGTACTTACATCAGAATTGATCGGGTAGATTTTGGTAGCTGCCATCTGAACGATTTTTTAACAAATTCTACACTTGTAACACTTTATCCATACATGGAATTAATTAAAAACAATTAGCAATAAAAAGTTACTGACGTTTATGTTTATTAGCATCTGTCAAGGTTAATGCTGTCGAATGTCAGAAGAACAATATTGTCATAGTAAAAATGTGAAATTCCACTAGTTTAATAGTCCAGTAGACAGGATGAAATGTTTCAAAATTATTTTTAACCTTCATCGTAATCGAAATTTTTCACGAATATTACGGTTAAACCCTAAAACACTACTAGGACCTTTTTTAAATGAGATTGTGGTGTTATTAAAAAAATATTTTAAACAGAATATGTTTCAAGAATAATAAATTATCCATATCTCAAATTTGGTCAGTTTACTCAACTAAAGAATAAAACCTCGTCGATTTTATTATAAATAAATACAGGAACGTCTAGCTTCAATATCACAGAGCTATCTTCAGGCCTCTGTAATGTTATATGTTTAAATTACATTTGAAATCTTTATTTACAAAATAATAAAATAAAATATGTACAACATAACATAAAATAATACACTCAATTCCCGGGGGTTTTGGGTCGGCGAAGCAGTTTCCTGCCGAGCCTATGGCGATACTTTCGCCTATTTTACATCTTGCTGCTAAAAAGTAAGGTTAGGCTAAACATAGCAGCCCCCACTCCTTGCCAGAGAGGCATTATTGAGGGGTTATTTTGTTATTTTGTTGCCTAGCAAACACTGATATGGAGGAAACGTGTCGTCCGATGATTAAAATTATAGTACACAAATTCCGGGAATTAAACATTGCATAATAAGCAGTTTAATTTAACGTTTAGGGTCATATTTACAATCATTGGCACTTTTTTACTGCATATTAACTGGAAATTAATGATATTTCAATCATATTTTTTCATCTGAGCGAACAATAACATTTTAAATACCATCATGTTTGCCGGGCCGGCACTACGCTGTTTATTACTGTTCGATTCAATTAATTTCACAATTCTAATCTAGTAAGCTAGTGTCAAATTTTGAATACTTCGTGTATTTGAAAAGATCTTGGTAAATCAAAATAAAAAAAAATTTAGACATTTTTTATTTTATATCTTTGTAACTACGCTATTTAAGGATTCATGTTCCCATATCAAAATTCATCAATTCTCTGTGGTAAAATGTTGTCAGTCGAATATACTAACACTCAGTATAAACGCATTCTCTAAAATGGATTGTATAAAGGATAAATTTCAGAAAAGTAAAAATTTTTATCTTTAATTCATATTGTTAAGAGCGTAGTGGAGTGTGGAAAAATTTCCTTATTTTATTATTATTTTGTTAGCATTAAATTTTTTGTTTGTAGATTTTGAAATAGCGATTTTCTAAAACCAGTTTTCTCTGAGCATTACCAACTTAGAAGACAGCAGCATACGATCTTCAAGTGACGAGGCGACTAGGAACAATTTAGCGAGAGGTACGACTTACGAGGTTTGTGAGTCAAATTACGGTTGATCAACTACAATAAGAGCTCTGGGTAAATAATCCGCAAGGATTGAGCCCATACAAAACTAAAGAAGAAGAACTAAAAGAGCTAGTGAGATTAGGTCCTGATGCTCAGAAGTGCTATGAGTCAACAACAGGAACCGAACGAAACTTTATTGAAGTTTATGTATCCACGCAGAAATTTTGTGTTTGTCCCCTTAGCTGCTGTGGCCGCAAAGATATCAAAAACTGTACTAGAAAACTAGAAACGTCGTAGTAGATGGATCACCATGGCACCTAGTCTTTTCTTTACAAATTCCCATAGCCGATTTCTCTATTGATATCTTTTTCTACCCTTGCGTTCCAATCCCCGTTGCATTGCCTATAGACTTTAGTTTCATATATCAAAAACACTGCAAGTACTCTTACGAGGGGGATACTTGTCTCTTGGTGTTTGTAATCCTGCCTTCAAAAAGTAGTTGGCACCTACCTCTAAGGAGCCAATTATCTGAGTTTTTGGTCTATAAAAAACTCTAAAAGCCGTTCCTTTAATGCTGATTCAAGTGCCCATTCAGGGTTTTCATTTTCATGTCGTTCGATTTTTTGTTCGTCTCTTCTTGGTATTTTGTATTTATTTTCTGGTATCCATTCAGCGCTTTCTTCTTTATGTCGTTCGAATTCTTTGTCTGCACTTGGTATTTTCTTTTCTTTTCTGATGTCCATTTAGAATTTTTAGTTTCATGTCCTTCAAATTCTTTGTCCTTGGGTTCTTGGTATTTTGATTTCTTTTCTGGTGTCCATCATGTGTTTTTGTTTTCATGTCGTTTGAATTCTTTGTCCGTCGGTTCTTGGTATTTTGCTGTATTTTCTTACAAAAGTCCTTCGTCTTGAGTCAATTTCTATTCATAGTCTTTACTTCACAAATTCCCATAGCCGATTTCTCAAATGCAATATTTTTCTACCCTTGCGTTCCCATCCCCCGTTGCATTGCTTCTATATAGACTTTAGTTTCATATCTAAAAAACACTGCAAGTACTCTTGAGGGGAAATACTTGTCTCTTGGTGTTTGCAACATCCTACCTTCAAAAAGTAGTTGGCACCTCTAAGGAGTCAGGTATCTGAGTTTTTGGTTTATGAAAAACTGTCTACGAGGCGTTCCTTTAATGCTGATTCAAGTGCCCATTCAGGGTTTTCATTTTCATGTCGTTCAATTTTTTGTTCGCCTGTTCTTCGTATTTTGTTTTCTTTTCTGGTGATTTGCCCGTCTGTTCTTGGTATTTGTTTTTATTTTCTGGTACCCATCCCATTCAATTCAGCGTTATCTTCTCTATGTCGTTCGAATTCTTTGTCTGTCTGCACTTGTAATTTTTCTTTATTTTCTGGTGCCCATTTGGTATTTTCAGTTTCATGTCGTTCGAATTCTTTGTCCTTGGGTTCTTGTTATTTTGATTTCTTTCTTTTGTGATGTCCCTTCTGTGTTTTCGTTTCTAATTCTTTGTCCGCAGGTTCTGGTTCTAGGTATTTTTTTTTTTTTCGTTTCTGGTGTCCATATTAGTGTTTTCCTATATATTAATGTAATTTTTTTAAATTTTGTTAGCTGCCACGTGTAATTTTTTTCTTAGCCATTAAAAATATTTATTAAGAGACGAAAAAAATCTATTGAAAAATGTGTTGGAACCACAGGTTGAAATAAATGTAGGAAATAATTACTATTTACTGGACTATTGAATTTGATTGCGCAAACGAAGTCTGCTGTGTTGCCGTTTGTTCCCATGACATTGTTGTATTGTTGTCCTTGTGTCCTTGTTTGGAATGGGGAAATTTGGCAAACGATTTTTCTAACAAAATGTCATCCAAACAGCCGCTTGAATGTTATAAAATGTTCCCTCGTTTATTGGGCAAAAATAGATTTTATGATTTAAAATAATTAGATTTTGAGTGCGTTTTAAATCCGTGTTAAGTGAGTAATTTATGTTAATAACATAACGTACCTAGACTCTTTGCGTTGTCTTTATGCAATAAGAGAGGTTGTTTTCCAACTTTCTTCAAAACTTGTTACAACAGTTAAAAAGTCGTCACCCGTAGAAAATTGTATCAAAACAAGGCCGTCGGCAATATTTTAAGGACCAGGCAAAAACAGAAAACTCGATAAGCATGGTAAGTTATTTGTTTCATTTGTTGAATAAACAATGTTTCAACTTTTAATAAAATGTTATACAGCAAGCAGACGATCCACCGTATTTGTCTGTTGGGACAGCCGTTAGTGCTAAATATAAGGGTGCTTTCTGTGAGGCCAAAGTCAGCAAAGTCGTACGGCTAGTGAAATGTAAGGTTAGTATCCTTAAAAAAAAATCAGTTTTCCCTATTTTTATTGTTATTATTGTTTAGGTAACCTATAAAATGGGATTAGGGAATTCTACACTCACAGACGAGCAAATTAAAGGTACCCTTAGGGTAGGGCAGCTTGTTCAAGCTAAACATCCAGATAGGAAAGAACTGGTCGAGGCTAACATAACGAAAATTCAAGACTGTAGCCAGTATACTGTTGGTGAGTACTTTATGTACAAGGTGCAAGGTTTGTACATGCCTTATAACTATTTTAGTCAGTACCAAGAGAAAGAAAAACTGGCCACAAATTGTGAAATAAAAATAATAAACTCTGTTATACAAAAAGAAAGTCATTTTATACTTACACAGCGTAGACTTCTTTTTCAACAATATGTTGATATTAACAACATCTATGTAATTCATTTAAACCAAAGTTTCATAGAGCTACTTCTAAGTTTTTACTTTAGTGGTTTTATTACTGTTGATATTCTTGAAATACTTAATTCCCTTTCAAGACACCTATAAGGAGTATAGGCATAATTTTCACGTATGTTTATAGAATGTACAAATACTAAATGAAATGGCTCCTAAAAAAATGGTTAAGATATTTCCAATTTATAATGAGTGGTGGAATGATAATATAAATATCATTGGACAGAGATAATTGGTTCAAAAAGTATTTAACTAATAGAAATAATGAAAACTGGGAAGCCTATAAACAAAAAAGAAACATTGCTGTAAGAGTCTTAAGAACTGAAAAAAGAAAATATGAAAGTAAAATTGATCGTAACAAGGGCAATGCTGTTGGAATGTGGAAAGTATTAAAAACTTTAGGGCCAAATTATTCTTTGCATGAAGATTTTTTAGAAATTGAGATAGATAATCAAAAATGGTTGACAAAATCAAGTCAATTGAACATATTGTTTATTAGTAGTATCAGTACAATAATTAATAATATGATCAGAGTGGCCCAAAATTTCCTATAAATATTAAAAATAAGTTAATTCCATGTTTTTCTTACTTTTGGTTAATTGATTATGATTCTCTCAAAAGAATTATTTTTTCATTGCCAAATAAAAGTAGTGCAGATGACATTAGCGTAAAAAATACATTTAACAGCATTATTAACACTCTAATTAATATTATTTATAACTCATTAGAGATAGGTAAAGTACCCCAAGATACTAAAATTTCTACAGTTATACCAATACCCAAGGTTTCAAACCCTAAAAATGCTCAGCAGTTACATCCTATAACTATGCTCAGCTGTATTCATAAATTTCTTGAAAAGGTTGTTTATGAACAGATTATGGATTATATTGAAGAACACAAGTTAATTAGTAAAATTTAATCAGGATTTCGTAGCAAGCATGGATGTGAGACTGCACTACAGTGTGTACTAGATGATTGGAGGGGGGAGATTGATAAAAACAATTTTATTATAGCTATATTCTTGGACTTTCAACATGCTTTTGAAACAATAGATCAACTTTGACTAATTAAAAAAAACTTGAAAGTATAGGAATCAGAGGCACAGTTTTAAAATGGATCATTGATTACCTCACAAATAGAAAACAAGGTAAAAATAAAAAACCTTATTCCTGATGAAGTGGTCAATGAATATGGTGTACCTCAAGGGAGTGTTTTGGGGCCCTTATTGTTTCTAATATATGTAGATGACATATGTGAGCTTCAAATTGAATGTTTATTGCATTTATTTGCAGATGACACACTTCTATTTTACTCATCAAATAACATTAAACAGGTGGTGACAGTTGTAAATACAAGTTTGGAAAAATTATATGAGTGGGCATGTGCAATTTTTTTAAAAATTTATGTTAATAAAATTAAATATGTTTATTGGAAATGATATGGAAAATAAGTTTCATGTAGATAACTATGTAATTAAAATTAGGACCTATGAATTACAACACGTTGAAGAGTTTAAATATTTGGGTGTAAAAATTGATAAAAAATTAAAATTTAAATCTCATGCTAATTATATTATAAATACAATATCTTTTAAAATAAATTATCTATACAGATGTAGTAAGCACCTGGCGCAGTGGACCAAAAAAATAATTTACAACACTTTAATTTTGCCCCATTTTACTTATTGTGCTACAATACTCTACCTATTAGGACAACATGAAAAAAGTAGATTGCAAAAACTACAGACCCCAATAATGGATATGTTATCTCAGTTAAAGTGGCTTCAAGTGACAGATTTCATAAGGTATCAAACCCTAATTTTTATATTTAAAATAAAATGCATGTTTAAATTTATCTATAGGCTGATTTCTAAAATTAAATGGTAGTATATTGTATAGCTCAATATAATATTTCTTTGTCCTTTCCAGTCTATACTGGATAGGGACTAAGGTATCTTTGTGCCTTGTATTATAGTTATGGATATCTGAGTGGGAAAAAAATGTGTTAATATTATTTCTTACGAATAGAAGGTTTTGATAGATTATTACTGCATAGAGTGTCATAATTTTAAGTTCTGGGAATACTGGTCTACAATTGGCTTGCCAAGAAGCACGTGTTATGGCTCTTATGGCTGATTTTTGCAAAATAAAGACTCCTGAGATATGTGTGTCAGCAGCATTACCCCAACATATTGTCCCGTATGTCAAATGACTATGAAATAGAGCATAGTAAGCAGTAATTGCTGCATCTTGACCACATATTTGGCGTATTTTCCTGATAGCAGAAACTGCTCGTGATAATTTGGAACAAAGTGCTTCAATATGATCTGTCCATCTGAGATGTGGATCAATTTGAATGCCAAGTGTTTTAACAGAATTGTTATTAACTTGTTCACTATTTACTGTAAATAATTGGGAGATAGTTTTTGTGTCATTTAAAAACAGGTCGTTTACAGAAAACCACCTCTTTGCCTGAATCATGACATCAAAGTAAACTTGATCATGATCTGTTCCTCTTTTAGTATTGATACAAAAAGAAGTATCATCAGCGAGATCATCAGCAAATATACATGTAATGTTTTCAAAATGCATATGGTCAGGAAGATCATTAATGTATATCAAAAAGAGTAATGGACCTAAAATTAAGCCCTGAGGGACACCTCTCCTGATATGCATCAATGAACTTTTGCAATTTTCGATGATGACTGTTTTGATAATAGAATTAAATGATCCACACAGTCAAAAGCAGAGCTTAGATCTGTAAATACACCTAAACATTTTTCAGCTTTTTCAAAACAATTTTCTATATATTGTACTAGAGATAATACTGCATCTATTGTAGATTGTCCCCTTCTAAAACCATACTGGAATGGCGTGAGTATGTTGGAAGAATTTAAATATGATATTAGATTATTATACATAATTTTTTCCAAGATTTTGGAGAATATGGGAAGTACAGCAATTTGTCCAAAGTTGCAAGGCTGAGAAGGGTCTCCTTTTTTAAATAGAGGACAGACCTTAGTAATTTTCATGCTATCAGGAAATATTCCTTCAGTTAGACAAGCATTTATAATTATAGTTAATGGTTTAGACAAAAAAAAATACATTTTTTCATTATAAATACATTAAATCCATCAATATCCTCTGTTCTTTTATTTTTTAAATCTTTTACAATTGATTCTATATCGGTTTGGGTAACTGGCTGAAAAAACATTGAATTTTTTAATTGTGGTATATTTATAAAGGAAGTAGTAGGTATATCTGGTTTCTCTAGATTCTGAATTATGTTTTCAGCATTATTAATAAAAAAATTATTAAGATCTTTAGGAGTTAAATTTTCTGGCTTTGTATTTGTTTTATTTCGACCAATTTCTTTGTTAATAATATTCTACAAATTCTTTGCCTTATTATCAGAATTTAATATATAATTATTGCAAAAATCATGTTTATTGCATTATTTATTGGATTGGTAAAACTCTGAAATGTTTTTTTTTTATTTTTTTTGTGTATCATCAGCTTCAACTACTCTGGTTATTTCGCCTTATTATTATTAAGTCTAATTTAGTACTACTTTAATGTATTGTGTATGACATGTTAATTAGCCATGTATGACTAAATAAATATAAATAAGTGTTTTTTTTTTATGAAATATTTAATTTGCTTTTGTATTTTGTTCTGGCAACTATAGAAAATATGGTATCAAAAATAATCCATGATAGATATCTTAAATATGAAAATTTTATTTAAAATCTGTCACTGTAAGAGGTATTCTCTCTTACTGGCTCCATTCACATTCTGACTGAATTTGTTATCACTCCAAGGGCACTATACAGAGGAGCATACCGAATAGAAGAGATCAATTTACCTAACACTACAAGTCCTACACTTCTCTCAAAAGATAGGAATGGAAGGGTTGTTATAGGCTTCGAAACTATTTCCTTGATGCATTAATGACATAAGGGGACACAATAGATCTTTTAGGTCGCAGTGCAATAATACCCCATACCCAACATAAAATCTTAAATCTGAACATTTTATTTAAAATCTGTCACTGTAAGAAGTATTCTCTCTTACTCTGGCTTATTTTCATTACTTGTCCCACATTATGGCAGGGTTGCAAAAATCCTGAATTTTTTTAAAAAAATTCAGGTACAGTATCGTTATCCGTTAAGTATTCACATAAATCAATTTACCTATTTTGATTGGGGTACTTATACGAATTAAGATGATCTGTAGTTATTTAACAGGTACCTAAGAAAGGACGCTCTGTTTGGGAAAACCCAAACATGCTGCTTTGTGTACTTATTGAATATCTAATAGAAATAATACATATTTATTGTATTGCCTCGTGTATTGCGCTATTTAACACTTTTAAAGATTAAGGTCTTTACTTTGCAAATTAAGCAACCCCTTTTACAAAATAATATGTCACCCTTTTCCTTACTCTTATTGGTATTTTAATTCTGTAGTGATTTACCATTAATTAACAATAAATAACAATATTTAGGGATGTTATATTAAATCGGTATTGTATTAAAACTAGAAAGTGTTTGAAAACAGAATCTCACTTTTCGCAAATTTAATAAAGTACTTTATAATTTAAACCAGGTAATTTCGGGATGATAGTACGAAATGAGACTATCAATAATTGGTTTGGGAGAGTCCGTACCACTGATCTGTATTATTTTACTGGATAGGATATAGCCCCCTAAAAAACGTTTGAAAAATTGGCCGATTTGGGCAAATAATATGGCGGACCGGATGTTATTTAACGTAATCTCTATTTCCATTTGTCATTACATTTGTCATTTAATTGTGTCAACAAGCTACGATGAGATGTTTTTATTGTGGAAAACAAAGTAAAAAGAGTATGAAATAAACAATAAACGTTCATTCCTGAAGACACAATATGCTTCACGTTTTCATTTTTATATTTTCTTTCATAAAAAATCAAATCATGGGTGAAATTTCCCGAATGACATCGCCCGCAAAAGGAATAGAAGAAGAATAAGAAGAAAAACTAATCAAATTATAGGTTAGGTATGTCAAATTATCCCAAATTTCAGTTCTGTGAACCCACCATAATTTGCCCAAATCGGCCAGCATTGTTGCACTTCCGGCCTCCTTGGTGGAACGATTTTTTAGTATGTTAAATATTATCCTATCCAGTAAAATAATACAGATCAGTGGTCCGTACAAACTGAAACTAAAACAGGTATAATTTTTGCATCGTACAAACTGAGACAGTACGAAGTGAGACGACACCAAAAATATGACATAACCTAACTTGATATCAATTTAATTAGAAATTAATTGAATAATACCGACCAATAATTACTAAAAAGAATTCTTGATATATAGAAATAATATTAAATTTTAAGATAAATACATCTATAAAGTTCTAAGCACTATCAGAAAAATATTAAAGCAACATAAAAACTCGCTTTTTAACATTGAACACGTAGGCAAAATAAAAATCTGCTTGGAAAGAGACGTCATGCGCAAGACTGACCGATTTTCGTACCGCTTACCGCTTCACCTGTATTTTTCCACCATGCTTCAACTATGATAGTTGGATCTAGAAAAATAGATTAAACTGATAATAACTGGCATTAAAAATGCAAATATACTTCCCAACTGTAATTTTGAAATCCTTTTATGTGTTTTAGAGCCTTATGATTTGTCAATAATACCATAAACAATCCTGTAATAAGACTTTCGCCATACTCTCTTATAATAATTTGACAACTCGGTGGATAAATCCGTGATTGTTTGCAATTCAATTTTTGTAAACAAAATTAATCTAGTACATAGTTGTTCGTCGTTGATAGAAAAGCATCATCAATAAATGGCGTAACGATTTATTACACTGTTTTACACTAGCACTTACGTTCACTGCACTAGCTCAAATGGCTTTTCTTTCTTTCGAGTCTTCTGTTGAGTGCAGAGTTGTCCAGTAACTGCATTTCTTCAATTGTGCCCGGGCCCCGGGAAATTGTCCCGGCTACCCCTCCCTGTCGTCGGCACTGGTGACACGACAGTTTTGCTGGTTATAAAATGGCGGACCTGATCATGCGCAAAAAAATTTTGACCCTAAAAATTAGCTATCCTTCGCTTCTGTAATAGGTAGGTTATTCTGTGGTATCATGAGATCAAAAGTAAAAAAAAAGAAAGATAATTGGCATTCGATTCAAAATTCCATTTTTATATTAATGATTCATTGCAAATGAAGTGCAATAACTATATGTAACTATGTTTTGTGAAATTTTTGGACCGCTGGTTGATAAAAGGCTAAAATTGAAATGAAGAATAAATCATTTGATTGAATTTGTGATAAAAAAAAAACTTCAAAACATCATTTTATTATTCTAACAATTGCATTTTTTATAAACGTTTCGCAGTTTTTGATGACGGAGATATAACAACTCTGAGACGTACAGCATTATGTCTGAAAAGCGGAAGGCACTTCAATGAAAGTGAAACTTTAGATCAGTTGCCTTTGACCCATCCAGAACATTTTGGAAATCCAGTTGTTGGAGGTAGAAGAGGCAGACGAAATAGACAGCCAAAGTACGTATTTATTAAGTAAATTTACTATAGATTTTTAATTTATATGTTTATAATCCATGTTGTTTAAATTAAAATTCTGTAAATTGGTTGAAGGCTTCATATCAAATTGTTAAAAATCTGTTAGCTGTTTATTCCTATTCACGTGTGTTCTACAATGTAAAAACAGGAATACCTTAGGGCTCAGCTTTGAAACCAACATTATTCCTATTACATATCAACTCTTTAATTTTAGCTATAACTTATATTATCCACAGTTTAATATCTGCAAATTGAATATAATCCACATTAAAAAGCTCTCTTCGTTCAAACTACAACTTATTCTCAATACTCTCATACAACTTTATAAAGAAATAATAAAAAACGACCATCCTATAAATATTGGAATATTTATTTCTTCATTAGTTTTGTCCTAAATACAGGGGTTTTTTCGATAAAGTTTATTAAAATCCATCAATTTTTACACAAGTTGTTCACCAAAAACTTTCACCTAGCGTATATCAAAAGGGATGATACAACCGGAGTGACTGCCGACATGTCGCCTTTAACGACACGGCATTGACATGTCGGTAAGTGTGAAAACAGTCCTATTTATTTACACATAGACACCGAGGTGATTTCTTAATTGTTCCTTTTTGCCAATTAGGGTACGACGCACTAAAAATATGTCTTTTAGAGAAGACAGCAGTGATGGGGAAGTAGAAGAAGAAAACGAGCCAGATCTTGAAGCCTACCTGTTGGACCTCAAACGGGTCGTTAGCGTAGAAACTACGGAGAAGAAGAGAAGCAAAGATAATTGGTTTCCAGGACTGGTAGTCATTCCATCTGCCCAGCCTACCGTTCGCATCAACATGAAAGATGAATATTTGATTAGATCATTCCAAAATGGAAGATAGTAAGTCGAAAATTAAGTATTGTAACAATATTTTGTATTCATTTTTTATTCCAGTTACACCGTACCCAAAAAAGAAGTGACTGAATTTAATAGAGATCTTGCTGAAAAATTGGAAAATTCCGTATTGGCTGAAGCTATCCAAAAGGCCATACGGTTCTTAGATCACAACGAACTTCCCCCGCATTGGGAGAAGAGCTCTTTGTTTCACTCTCATAACGTTGATAGTGAAAGTGACGAAAATTTCAGTGATGTAAGTTTTTTTTTTTTTTTTCATTCTAGAATTATTACTTACATGCAAATCCACAATTGTAGAGCTCCGATGATGAACCAAGTGAAGAAAAAGACCGTTTCGTGGCGCAATTATACAAATTCATGGACGAAGCTGGTACACCTCTCAATAAAACCCCCACTATCTCGAACCAAGACATAGATCTGCACCGCCTCTTCGGCATCGTACAAAAAATGGGCGGTTGCAACAGAGTCACCAATCAAAACAAATGGAGAACGGTTACTCTCCGATTACACCTCCCTGGTAGCCAAAACATCTTCAACCAAGTCAAGGCGGTCTACAAGAAATGCCTCTCGAGCTATGAAACGTTTTACCGCACTCTAGGCGTAACTATGTTGAATCACACCAGGCCTACGAAGAAGAACAAGGGGCGGAGCTTGATTCGCGATAGAGATCGAAGCACGCCCATCAGCAGCCCCGCCTCAGCTCCCGAAAAGGACGAGCCTGCAATTGAAGAGAAGAAAGAGGTGGTACCAGTAAAGGAAACGCCTCCTCAAGAACCTCTCAAGTCGAAACGCATCGAGAAAAAGAGGGCGTTAGCTTTGGCTTCGGCCGAAATCAGCGATACCAACTCTAGCGATACCACAGACCAACCCGAACCATTGAAGGACACGCCTAGACCGAAACGGGAACGTGTCGAAAAAATCGTGAAGGAAAAAGAAAAGGAGAAGGAAAAGGAGAAAGAGAAAGAAAAAGAGAAGAAGATAAAAATTGTCAGTGAGAAAATAAAAAATTTGATCGAGAAGTTTGAAGAGCCGCCCAAAAAGGAAGAGGAGGAAAAGGTGCAGAACACTCGTTCGAAAGCGCAATCTAATAAGAAAGAACCGCCCCCTCCGGTACCGGAAAAGAAGCCGGAACCGAAACCCGTCAAAGAAAACAAACCGATTCCCGTTAAACCAATCAAAAAACCGGTACCGCCCACTCCGACCGAGGAAGAGAAGAAGAAAGGGAAGAAACGCCCCGCCGACGAAAAACCGGCAACGTTGGAGGGAGGCACCGCCGACAAACAGACGGCGATCGCGGTGCCTATTATTAACATCGGAGATAAACTGAAAGTTTTTTACGGAACCTCCACCGAGTCGAAAGTGACTTACGAAGCTAAAGTTATCGAAATCGATAAAGACCAAACCGGCCAGGTGTATTTGGTACACTATACCGGCTGGAATACGAGGTACGACGAATGGATTCAACCTCAAAGAATCGCCGAGAACTTGAGCGCTACTAAGAAAGCGAAGCGTTCCAAACAGCCGAGTACGTCGTCGGCCAGCAGCACCAAGAGCCAATCGCAAACGCCTAAACCGTTGCCCAAGAGAGCTAGAGTTACTTCGGTATCGGCGCGATCCTCTACGACGGAGATTCCCAGGTCTACGACGCCCTCTAGCGTTACGTCTTCGGGAAGTAGGACGAAGAGCCCGGCGACTCCTGCGACTAGGTCGGCGGCGAGGTTAAGACAAGGTAGGAATTTTCGGATTTTGTATTTCTTTATATTATAGGATAGTTTAAGAGCCTTATATGGGAAATGATACGTGACTCGAGAGAGAAAAAGTTGCGGCCCAATTATTTTTGTTTGCTAGCTCAGCGGAATTTGGTTCTGAACCACTCCTCAATGCCACTAGTAACTATTTGATTTAATTGAATAAATAAAAAAGAAATAAAATTCGAAAGATATATAAAGAAAAGAAAAGTTGGGCGCCATCTGTTATTGTTTTATTAATCTCCAAAAAAATAAGGCATACCTTTGTAATAAAAAAAATCAATAAAACTTAACAATTTTATTTAACAAAAAAAAAAAGAATAATTTATTGTGCCTGTATATCACTGTATGTACGAATTGGTATTTATATTTCCAACGTGAATGGATCTAATTGGACTTGCCTTGCTGTGGTCTCTGTGGTGGTGATCTCGCTTTTCTCTTTGAAGGGTGCTACAAACTCCCACTAGTCTTTTAGGGATCGGTAATGCTGCTAGGGTAAGGATCAATTATTGTTCAGAAGAGGAGTTTTCCTCTGTTGTAGCGACGGCGCTAGTCGGTGAGGGAGTCTTAAAATTCCGAATCAATTTGGCACAAACTCACACAACGTCGATATAGATATTTTTGAAAAATAACTTTATGTCACCGCGAGAGAAGGAAAAGAAAAGCAGAACCCAAACGGCCGTGTTCGCCTTTTTAAAAGTCTTCAAAACCAAAAAACTTGATTATTCTAGAAGGTATTTTGTATCTCTCTCGAAATAAAAGAGGAAAGCTATATCAGTTCATGTTTGGTGTCCCTTCCAAATTTTTAAAAATCGATAATTACAATTACTTTATTTTAAAGAATAGAGTTGGGAACAACTATACTCTATTTTTAAACTAAGAGGAGCGAATTGAAAAGTCCTATTTACACAGGGAAAAATAACTAAAAAAGTAACTAGATATCATTTTAGCGGTAAATTTAAATTTCAAGAAAAACATTTTAAAACTTTGTTATGAATGCATAGAAGTCAAAGTTTTAGATAACCAACGAATAGAGATGATATTACCAAATTGTGCTGTTTCACTTTTTTTTATTAATAATTGTACTTTAGTTGTAATTTTAATTTTTCGCTACTTCGTCTCGTGTCGCAGCTCGCATCAGTTTGATCAGTAGAGAACCGCCACCGCCGAACCAAACCACTCAAGCGGCAAGCACCGACTAAAAACTAAAAATGTCATCCAACAAACAACAAACTATTTTCACGTTATTCTGTGCTATTTTGTTTACATTTTTAGTTTAAAGAGTTTTAAGTTTTAGTTCGATATTTTTTCATAATTTTGTAAGGACCCATAATATATATTATCTATTATAATAACAGAAAAGAAAGTAAATAGTAGGTATTTCAATTTGATGGAAAAATTAGATGAATAGGTAAGTATTTGAGTTCTATTTCTTAGAAGCAAAATTACATTAAGCATACCTATTACCTATCTACGTACCTACAAAACATATTTGGGATGAACTGAAAACTGGAAATATGTATTTAAAGAAGAGCTTATTAAAAATGCAGAAATTTGGCAGGTACAAAAAAATGTGTTTATTTTTATATAGGTTCATTTTATTTGTAATATTTTTTCTCAATTAAATTACAAGACTACCATTAGTTGTTTGGATGGATTTCCTAATTAAATAGAGGTTCTTTCTTCAGGTAAAATGTAGCGAAGTTTTGTATATTATATGTTTGTGACAAGTCTTTTGAAATCAAATAAATAAAATGGACAAGGATCATCACTAGACTTGATTGACTAGACGAATTTTGTTCCCACTAAGAAGATGTTATATTCAACAGTGGAAGGTGTAAAAATGTTGGCAACAGCTTATTAAATGTATGTAAGAGTCGAAGAAAGTGTAACTGTACCAGAAGTTACTCTACTACTCGTATTAATAGGTATGTAAAAGTCCAAGAAAGTGTAATGGTACCGGCATTTACTCTAATATTAATGGTTTTTATCATTATTCCATTTTGTTGTAGGTAGGATTTATAATTGTTGAAATAAATTCCACAATGTGTATCCGAATGTCTTTGGTCTTCTCAAAAACAAATTTTTATACAATATAAATCAGATGGTATAATTTTTTGAGACATCCTTTAAGTCTTTTGAAAATTAAATGTTTATTTGCAGGTAAGATAATATAATCTTAGTTTTGTATGATCATTTATAATATAGACAAATAATTAAGTAAAAATTATTTATAAAAAAAAGACAATTTGTAACTTTGCTTCAGCAAAAGGATTTCCTACACCCAATTTAATATATATATATATATATATTTTTTATAAACAAATAAAACATCTTTAGTCAATTATATTTTTAATAATTAAGCACTACATATGTTTCCGAATAAAATTCAATATTCTGGTGCAACACAGTTTGTTAAAATTAAAAAAAAAAAAAAACATTTAGTGACAACAAATACTGTACAATTTTCATAGATGAAACCCATCTTTTTGTTAATGGTAGTGTTGCATAAACATCGATAGTCAGAGCTTTTGATAGTATCGATAGTTTTTGATAAAAACTATCGATAGTATCGATGTACTATCGATAGTTTTGAAAGGTAGGTATTTGAAAAGATCAAAAAGCAAAGTAAACTGAGAAAACTTTTATTTCCTATAAAAATGGGTGTCTACTTTAAGTTTTGAAAAATGAATAATTGTGTTTAATGAACAATAAAGTATCTAAATTTTTATCTTTAAGCCGGTTTCTTTTTTTCGTCATAATATCACCTGCCTTTGAAAAAATTCTCTCTGTTGGCACCGAAGTAGCAGGTATACTCAAATATTTGAATGCTAATTCCCGAAGTGTACTGCTAGATTGGTGACCGGAAAAAAGCGCAAAGGAAATAAGCGCACAGGAAATATGCGCACAGAAAAAAGCGCACAGACATATAAGCGCACAGGAAATAACCGCACGAGGAAATATGCGCACACGGAAAAAACCGCACACGGAAAAAAGCTCACGGGTATAAAAGCGCATATGGAAGAAAGCGCACATTGAAAAAAGCGCAAAGTGCATGTAGTTTATATTTATATTTTGTTACAATTTTTTGTTGTTTGATTAAAACTTTAATTATCGTTGTTTACAGTAGTTACCATAATTTTTGCTGATAATTCAGGAATCTACTCAGTTATTTATTCGGAATTATTATAAGTACGATACAAAGAATAGATCTGTACCTTGGTTTGTTATATTCCAGGTGAAAAATATTAGACAAGTTTAAAAAAATTCTTAAAATACTTTCACAATAAAGTTAATACGGTTTATAATATTTATATCTCCATTATGGATTGTTGAGGACAGACTAATTCCACCAAATCCGCCTTTAAAAAATTATAACGATCAGTTTCGCCGCGAGGAAATTATGCTGTATATTTTACTTATCTCATACAGTGTGTATCTTAATTAAAACGAAATATTTGCAAGTGGTCATTTATTTTTACTAGAGATTATAAAATTAAGATAGGTACTTATTATTTCATTTATTAGTTGCTTTTTTGTTAATAATTTTTAATTCAGGATAAATCCCATGCCGTCAATCTCTTTCTTTATAAGTTGCACACATTGCAGTTTCAAGTAACTTGTATACTTTCGTCTTTTAACAAGCAAAAGGCAACGGAAACAGACATTTCATTTGCATATGCATGGATGTTAAACAGTTTGGCAGCTCATTTTTCCCATTTAAGTTGGCGAAATTTACGAAATTTTTCGAAAATAATTAAAGGGTCACTAAACGGCATTTACAAGAATTGATAGTCGAACCGTTTTAAATAAAGACACGAATTAAACTCAAACTGTGCCTAATATTTTAACATTTAAAATCTTCTTAGAATAATGTTAGGTACTCATGGATTATATCATTAATATCTATTTATTATAGACCGTTACATTAATTAGATAAAAGTTTTGCAAATTTAACAATCTTCTTTGAATATTGTAAGGTAATTAGGGATTATATCATTAATATCTATTTATTATAGACTTTAACCTGAATTAAACTAAAAATTTTTCAATATTTAAGAATCTTCGTAGAATAACGTTAGGTTTTTGGAATTCTGTCATAATAACTTTATTTCATAATATTTTATAATAAATTACGCTTATAAGTAAGTTACTGCAGACTGGTTTTATTTTTGATTCGCGCTAATTTTAATATTCAGACAAGTGTACTATATTTTTTATTGATAAATAGAATTGGTTTTTGTTTCGAAATATTTTTGGAGTTCTATTATGATTTTTGATCATTGTTTTCATTTATAATGTTATAATCGTTAACGATTTGTAATAATTATATTTATGAAATTCCGGTTGTAATGATTTTGCATTTTTTGTAAAATGGCGAGTTTTATAGGTATCTACATATTTTATCTTTAAAACCTAAATATTTTTGCAATTCCATGTTGATTTTATTTTAATTTTATAATCGCCAACTATTTGTACTAATATATTCATGGATTTGTGTTTATATTTTTTTATATAATAATGTAGGTACAAACGAAAAATGCATATAGGTTTTTAGTGTAATATATTTTTATTCCATATTAATACATTAAAAACGAAAAAATGAATAAATTAACAAAAGATAAACGCACTTTGATAGACGTACTACTGTAAGTTGGCTATTCTCCTTAAGTAAGATACTTTGTTATCTGTTTCTTGATACTTTTCTACAGAACTGGCTACAAGCGCGTACAGTTGTCTGTATTTCTTTTTGGTGGGCTCCAGTCTGTTAGCTTGGGAGTTCACCAATGTAAGTTTGTGACATGCTAAATCTCTTCTCAATCCATCGAAAAGCATCCATATGCTCGGATGACTGCAATGAAATATGGAATTAAGGGCATTGTGAAACCCTTCACAACAATTGGTCGTTCTTGGCGTTTCATCAAGAGCGGCATCGTAATGGTTCCATATTTTCGGATGGAATTGTGGACTTCTTCCGGCG